TGGCTTAAATTGAGATATTTTAACCTACTCATAACCTTCTCCTAAAATAATCTTGATCTGAAATGATTTTTTCATGAGTCTAGACAATTTTTGTTTACAATATCAAATAATAGTGAAATATTATGTTTGTTTTATTTAGCAATTTCTAAACAAAATTTCTGCTGGGTACAATTGACCCGCACTGGCGACCTCGGACAATTCGAGTGTTAAGTGTGCCGGGACCTTGATAGACACAGACCTCTTAGTATTGTCATGGATTAGCCTATAACCCATGAATCTTACTCACTCACTCACCCATGCACGCACGTACGCGCACACACACACACACACACACATACACGCTAAAAAATACATGCAAAAAAAATGCGAACACGAGGACAACATTTTTTTCGCTTCTACAGTATGTGTGGTGTGCTACGATGTGACAAAGACAGCACACCACACACCAACAGATTTTCACCCAGAGACCCGAACGTGAACATTTGATCTGCTGATTGGATCTTCTTTTTATCACACCGCAAAACAATTTATGAAAAACTAAGTGCAAAATGCAAAGAGACAGAATATAAAGACAGATTGTGGTCTATTTTTTAATATGTGGCTCCAAAAATGCTAGCAAAGAATCAAACTGAGCCACTGATATCCTGAAGTAAACTTTGAATCACTTGGTAAAGAGGTGAAACACTCCTTCTCTAAGCAGTCTTGGATGAAACCAATATTTCCTCCTCCTTTTTTTATTTTTAAGAATATAGAGTTTATTCAGAAGGTCATGGTTCGCACCAATTAAATAATTGCTTAGTATAGTTTTTATTTTACATTCTTCAGGTGATACAAAACACAGACGTTTCAGCACAATGCCTTTAACAAAACCATCATCACTGACTACGTTTACATGGACATCAGTTATGCAATTATTTGCCTTAATCTGAATAAGACATTAATATGATTAAGGTGTTTATATGAGTTTCTTTTTGAATGTTGCTTTCATGATCCTGTTTTACATGTTATAGCACAAATAATATAATGTCACCAAATGTGGTGAAAATCCTACATGACGGTATAGTTTGATTAAGGTGCTTACATGTCTGTACTGCACTTCAATAATGTGACTAAAATCAGCTTACTCCACATGTCTTAATTTTATTTCTGTTTAGTTTGATTATGACCTTAATCAGATTATAATAATAAAAAATTGCTGTTTGCTGCACATGGTAGACTCTTAATCAGAGTATTGTCTTAATTGTATTAAAATCAGATTATTGGTGTCCATGTAAACATACACACTGCTTAAAGACACCATTTTTTAGTTTGCATTTTGCTTATATTTCAAAAATATTTTAACAACGCATGAATTAAAATGCAATCAGACCCTGTGTCCAAGGTTTCTGTGTGTAGCATTTTTTAGGATGATAATTACAACAATAACGGAAACTGTACACAAGCTGTACACAAAAATCTGAATCAATGTGTACGAACCCTTAGCTTCAGTGGATAGAAATATTATTTATACAGTATTTTGCGAGTCTAAAAACACTAAAAGTCAATGGCATTCCCCTATAATGATGTGTGTGATGTCTCAAAGATGTTTCATAACACATTCACGCTTCTTTGCTTTGATGACTGTTTCTAATAAAAGATCTCATAAGGAGCTGCGTATGCAAATGCTGAGGTGAAATCATAATATTGATCTGATATTTTTGCATAGAGCTGGGCTTTTTGGAGTATTTGTTAGATGGCATGACAAAGTCCTTGAAGTGCCGTAAATAATTTATATTTTGACGGCCGGTTTGACATTAAACACACCAGAGATGAGAAACCTTTGTGTTTCTCATGACAGCTGAATTCTGCTGTTTACTTCATTGAGAATCAGGTTTCATTACAGTTCTTTCAAGGCAGCATTGTATTGATTTTCCTGAAATGTTTTGGTTAGAGGTTTGATATCAATCCCAAAGTGTGACTTTTGTGAAATTAAAGCAGATTAAGTCTTGTAGATAGGCTTACTGTAGCTTTTGGACAGTTTTTGTTTTCTGAAAATGGCCAGCTGTTCTAAAAATATAGAAAAAAAAAGATTGAAATAATACAAATGTATGTTTTTAGCAATGTTTTGCAATGTTCCTGATGAAACATCCAGTGTTAATTTAGTATAATTATGATACTTAGATACATTGTTTTTACAGTTTGAATTGGTTATTATTTAATTATTATTCCTTTTTTTCATTTACATATCTTAGATAAATATTCAACAGCATTTTTACAGTTTTTATTTTACACAGTCTTGCTGCTCTGGTAAGTGTGTATTGTTACAGAAACACTGGAAAATATATTATATGCAATACACAGAATAATATAATATAATATAATATAATATAATATAATATAATGTAATGTAATGTAATGTAATGTAATGTAATGTAATGTAATATAATATAATATAATATAATTAATATAATATAATATAATATAATATAATATAATATAATATAATATAATATAATATAATATATTATAATATAATATAATATAATATAATATTTTAGTATGTAATATAAGTAAGAGATTATCAATGGCATTTATATTACATTACAGACCCTAACCTTACATTATCGTACATTACATTACCTATTATTCCAGGTCATTAGCCAAGTTATAGACATGTTTAAACTATAGTATTGCTCTTGACAGCACATTATTTGGCTAAATGGGTAAAATTTTTATTTATTTATTTACTTATTTAAAAAATTTTTTTGTCAGTTATGATACTTTTGTGCCAACTTTAAATCAGACATGGGCATACAGAGCAAGCAAGAGCGAGACAGAGAGAGAGATATCTGGTTATATATGGGCTTATCCAATAGCCAATAGAGGTGTGAACCGTCACTGGTCTCACAGTTCGGTTACGATTATCATGCCATCAATTCGGTTCAATTCGATATCATGGTGCATTGACAATGCTTTCCATATACCGTTTTATATTTTATTCACAGCTCAGCAATTCTTGTATTAACATGTATAAACATATTTATATTTATATACTATTTGTATTACAATTTTGTCCTTTAATACAAACAGTCAGATATATAAACTGTACCTCTAAAAACTCAACAGTACAAGTACATGCACAGAACAACATGAGCATTTATAGCAAATAAACAAATGTAAATATCCTGCTCGCTTTCTGAGCCTTGTCTAGCGAGTTCTTTCTTACACCCGATTGGCTCTAACGCTCTGGTGCTTTTCACCAGTGAGTGACAGTGATAAACAGCTGATCCATAACAGACGCGGTGGAGAAAACTCGCTATGCAGACACGCTCGTGTCTGGATCCACAAGTATCGTCGTACTGTAACAGCTGGGAGGAGAGGAAACTTTACCTCACAACAGCAGGTCAAAGGTCCACAGCGAGAGAGAGAGAGAGAAATGGAGTTTACTTTCAGTTTCTTTACAACAGTGAAACTGCTGTTAGCGTCAGTGAAAGACTGTCCTGCAAACACTCGCAATGAATTTTAAAAGCAGTAAGCTACCGCGAAATAGCACATATGAGATAAGTGACGTCAGTACATAATAACCGGTTATGATTATTACTGAACCGATACCGAATTGTCCGCATCTGCATCGCGGTGCAGTAAAGAAGCAATTAATTTTGACATCCCTAATAGCTAATAATAAAATTAGTTGCTTCTTGGCAAATACTTTTGAGCATATTTGCGAGTCGGTTGACCCCATCAGGTGAAGGGCACATCAGTGTCTTTACAATAAAACAGGAATGCATCTCAGGTGCAGATACTGTAAATGCTTTGGCAACTGTTACTGAGATCGGATGGTTAGTAATGTTTGATGGTTCATTTAGAATTGTGAACTGGAACTACCTGTGCATTTAAATGATTTTATTGCACACCTTCCAGCCAATCAAGGATTTTAATAGACCATGGAATAATATACTGTAATTTAATACTCATACAAATTCACACACTAACCATTACTTAATTGAATCCATTGACAGCCCATTGTTTTGTGAGCCATTAAAGTTTTGTTTTACAGTTAGATACAATTCAGTTGACCCAAAAATTAAGATTTTCTCAGTAATTAATCACCCATAAGTGGAATTAAACCTTTGCAAGTTTCTTTATTATGTTAAACACAACAGACGAGGTTTTTAGAAAAGCTGGAAAATGAAGATATTTTAAAGAAAGCTGAGAACCTGTAACCATTGACTTTCATAGTAGAAAAAACAAATACTATGGAAGCCAATGGTTACTTAAACTGGTTTGGAACATTTACATTTACATTTAGTCATTTAGCAGACCCTTTTATCCAAAGCGACTTACAAATGAGGACAAGGAAGCAATTTACACAACTATAAGAGCAACAATGTATAAGTGCTATAGGCAAGTTTCAGGTCTGTATAGGCAAGTTTCAGGTCTGTATAGGCAAGTTTCAGGTCTGTATAGGCAAGTTTCAGGTCTGTTTGTTCAGGTCAATTTGAGGATGAGTAAATTATAAATTAACTATTTGTTTGGATGTAAACTATCCCGTTAAAATTTGAAAGAAATCCACACAGTCTTTAATTTCAATCACCCAGTCCTTTCTTGATGCGTTCATTTGTTAAATTGCTCTGCTCTTACAAACAATGGTTGTTCTGAACTTGTCTCATTAAATATTTCCTGTTCATTTTTCCAAGGGGCAACATCTGTCTTTCTGTAATGCACTTTGTTTAGCTGTGTTTGTTTACAAGCCGTCTTTAGTCTGCGAGCCTTTAAAGAGTGTCAGGAAAAATCCTCAAGTGTTTGAAGTCTCACAGCACTTTCTTCAACCCTCTCTTTCTGTCTTCATCTCTGATAATAAACACGCACATACTTCTAATGAGAGTCATAAAAGCCTCTCCTTTTTGATTCTTCTCTTGCTCAAATTAGCTGGGAGTATATTTTCTGGCTTTGTGTTCGTCTCTGTTGGTGCAATCTCTAAATTTAATAACCTCACTTCTTTTTCTCTTTATCCCTGTCAGGTTGGTGTGGAGTTTTGTAACTAAAGGATTTCTGCGTGCACTGGAATACATCAGCCAAAAATGAGGAACTGTTGAGAGTGAGTATGACTTCATGTGTGCTGTCTTATTTTTGCTATAGCTTTGTGGAAACTGAAACAGATTTGCTTTTGCTGTTTGTTTGGACCTGCTCAGATTAAGCAAGACACGGCAGGTGAATAAATATAAACTAGAAGAGTAAAGTTCGTAGACAAACTTTATTGTTTATTGTTTATTGTTGTAAAGTTTAAAGTAGTTTAATAGTTTAGACCATTTAATTAGTTTTAAATAGTTTAAAACAGTTGGCATACATAGAAAAGTAGTAGAAAGCAGGTTGTAAAGGTGCTGCAAGGGTGTTTAAATTGGTTTCTATGTGGCTGCTAAGGTGTTGCTAGGCAGTCATTAGGGTGTTGAGTTGTTGCTAGAGCATTCTGAGAGGTAAGGTATTGCTAAGCCATTGATAGGGTGTTCTGAGTGGTTGCTTGGTGGTTGCTAGGGTGTTTTGAGTGGTTGCTAAGGTGTTGCTAGGCAGTTGCCAAGGGGTTCTGAGTGGTTGCTAAGGTGTTGCTTGGCAATTTCTAAGGTGTTCTAGGTGGTTGCTGAGACATTAAAGGCGGTTGATAGGGTGTTCTGGGTGGTAACTAAGGTGTTGCTAGGTGGTTGCTATGGTGTTTTAAGTGGTTGCTAGGTGGTTGCTAAGGTGTTGCTAGGCGGTTGTTAATGTGTTCTGAGTTGTTGCTTGGTGGTTGCTATGGTGTTCTGAGTGGTTGCTAAAGTGTTGCTAAGGTGTTGCTAGGCAGTTGCCAAAGTGTTCTTAGTGGTTCTTTAGTTGTTGATAGGTGGTTGCTAAGGTGTTTCTAGGTAGTTGCTAAGGGGTTCTGAGTGGTTGCTTGGCAGTTGCTAACATAAATGAGGTTCCAGTATGAATTAACATTATGCTAGTATGTTTCTAGCATACATTAGCATGTTGTTAATTCAGTTTAAATTAGCATGTTGCTAGTATGTTTATAAATTAGCATGTTGCTAGTATGATTATATTTGTTTGTATGTTTCCAACATGATTACTTAGTATGTATTGGTATGTTGTTGTCAGTATGTCCAATGTAAAGTCAATGGCATTTTTTTACAATGGAAGTCTATGGGACAGTTGCCAAGGTGCCGTAAGTGGTTGCTAGGATGTGGCTAGTAGATTGAAAGGTCGTCAGGGATTGGCAGATTGGTAGTCTGAGTTAAATTAGCCCAACCTTAAGTCTGTATGACAGTCTGGCGCAAAGTTATGAGGCCATAAAGTTTGGTCCAATGTTAAATTAATGGGATTTTTCAGAATTTTCTGGGTCAGATTTTGGAAAACTGTATGTCGGTTGAGTTGAAAAAGAAATAGCAACCCGAGTCAGACCAGTTTGGAGGTTTGGTGGTAGTTTGGTCTAGAAGGAGATGGATATAGAAATTAGTCTCAGAAGAAGACAGAAGAATAATAGGTTTATGTAGGATAACAGTAAGTTGGCTTTCTCAAGCCACCATAACTAGTATTTTGCACCATACCTCACCATACTATTGATTACATGAAGAATTGCACAAGTTTATATATATATATATATATATATATATATATATATATATATATATATATATATATATATATATATACACACACAAACACACACACACACACACACTTACAGTATACACAACTTTAATTTATTTTATAGTAAACATCCAGGAAAAACAATCTCACAAAATTACTATGGAAGTCATTGGTCATTCTTTAAAATATCTTAATTTGTGTTTGAAAAAAAAAAAATCTCAAACTTGTTTGAAACAAGTCAAGAGTGAGTAAATGAGATCAACAATGGCATTTTTTTTAGTTAACTGTCCCTTTAAAACACTATTTTGATTGTTTTCCTGATATTACACTGAAGAAAATAGTGCTTTATGAAAATCCTAAAAGCCCAATGTCTCAAAGCTGAAAGGTGCATATAAAACATTGTTTTTTTTTTCTGTTATGTCTTGACTTAACCTCTTTCTTGACCTGATTGTTATAAGCATGATAATAATAATTTAATTAGCTGGGACATTGTTTAATAAGCAACGCGTTGCTGGTTAATTGGTGAGCAATTGAGGACAACATGTAAGGACACAGAGATGTCCGTGACTGCCTTGGACAGCTGGGGTTGAACACACACCTACGCTCACACACACAACACCACAGGCTTTTTAATAGACTGAGACAGAAGGATTAGGTTTTTACCTGTATCTTGGTTAATATTTCTCTGCACTGCATGTTTTTTAATTGGACTTGTTTTGCAGAAAATATTTCTGAACATTGTTTACATGAAAGTGTATTACAAAAGATATTCTTAAGAAAATGAGCTGAGAAAAAATAAGCGTTTGTGCATAAATCTGTTAACGTTTTGATCAAAATAACTATTGGGGAGCGATTTAAGAGTGACTTTCAAAATAGATAAAGAAAAACATTTAAATAAATTTTTGTTTATTGTTTTTATTCCGGTAATCAGACTATTTTGGCAAACTTATGACCTTGACATTTTAGTTGGCAAGATACATTTTCTAGTCAAGTCTAGTATGTTCTGCATGATATATTTATTTATTTATTTATTTATTTATTTATTTATTTATTTATTTATTTATTTATTTATTTATTTATTTATGAAGTTAGTTAGTTAGTTAGCTTGTTAGTTAGCTTATTAGTTAGTTAGCAGAGTAAAATAGTCATATTTCATTGATCCTTTAAACACTTTTGTATTTAGATAGATAGAAAAATAAAGAAAAAAATTATAATAATAATATTAATAGTTACACAATTTTAAGGTGTCATTGTTACAGTATAATCACTCATTTATCTACTTAGTAATACTAATTAATTGCTTGTACTTGCTATGTGGTTAGAGTTGGAATGTGGGTTATGTGTAGGGTAAGTGGCATGTAAACAGGGCTTGACATTAACACCCACCAAATACGGGTAGTTTTCAGCTGTGGCAGGTTAGACAGACACCTCCCCTAGTCCCTTTGGCTGGTTGAATATAATTTTTAATTATATAAAAAAGCTTTTTATTCTGAAATAAGTTTTTTTATAAGCAGGGTTCGATAATAAGGATGACCTAATATGCGTGCAAATGCGATCTTAGAATCGAGAAGCAGCGCGACTGACAAAAACAATTGTTCACACGAGCAAAAGAAAGCTGGTGAAAACCGAATGAGACCATGATAACTGGAGCTAACCAAAATTTGTGGCTAAGAAATTATTATTTATGTTTGGTGTGGTCAGAGATAAATTTGGCAAATCCTTCATAATCCTTCCTCATACACACACAAAAAGTGAAATGAAGGAGGAGGCATGTGGACATCACACATCTACATGCATATGCATATATTTTATATATGCATATAAAATATATTTTCCCAACAACAAAATTGTGGCTAGTGAAAATGGCGAGTGGTTAGTAATGTTGAAAAACTACTAGCCACAGTGGCTGGTGATCAAAAAAGTTAATGTCAAACCCTGCATGTGTAATTATGCATAATTACATGAGGATAGCTAAATGAACGTGCATCTTATTTTCTTTTTTTTAATGGAATATTGCAGTGTTTATTTTAAATTATTTCTCCATGTACATTTTATTCATTATTTTTCTTTTCTGTTGGGATGTTTCCTCATAATCTTTACTTGAAATAACTTCCTCTCACTGTTGCAATATCACCTCTCTCTTTTCTGTGTTCCTGTCACATATCACACATGCACACTTCAGTAAACAGAGAGAAAAGCAGGTTAATGAGTTTACATGCTGAGGGAAATCTGCATAAGGAACAAAAAACTCTAGCCGTGAAGATTTATTCCTATTCTGTTTATGACCTTACCTTGCACAGGTTAATGTGTTTACATTGTTAGCTTTTTAAGCAAAGCAGGGTTAAGAACATTCATGTAAACACACTCATTGACTTTACTTCACAGACACACTCTTTCGACCTAATCTTGAACATTGTGTAGGAATTAGTCCTTCCCATTAAAACCAGTCTTTCAAAATAGCAACGAGCCAACAATTTTGCTCAACACCCCACCTTTTTATTGACCACCCATCAGTCCACAAAGTAGCACAAGTGGGTCTGCTATTTAAACAAGGTGTGCAAAACGTGAAAATTAGGGTTGCGCTGGTTTGAAAATAGCAACAAATCACGCCATACACATCTTGCACCCTATTGCACCTGGTGTATGATAGGGCCCTTAATTGGTGTTTTGAAATTCTATGGAAATAGATGTTAAATATACGAAGAACAGTCAAATGAATCATTGCTTCTGGATTTGTATTTTCAGTGCACTTGTGCTAAAAAAGGACACGCAAAAGAAACGTTGTTAAACTTACAACCTCTATTGCGTACATCAACCATATATTTTAATGAAGATTATATTCCCACGCAGCTGTGACACGTAATGGTGGCAGCACTGTAGAATAAGAGCAGCATCTAAAAGGACACATCATTCAGTCCACAGCAGTGTCTGAGTATAAGTCGATCTGAAGAGCAGTACTTGATGACTAATCGAGATTGACATCCATTGACTGCGAGGTGACAGCCATGAACCGAGGAAGATATGACGCCACTTTTTTATTTCATTATTTTATTTTTAGTATCTGAGGGTGAAATGAGAACTAAAACTCTTTCAGCTGTGCTCCCAAAGCAAAATCAATATATATATATATATATATACATTATAACTCATAACTGAGTTACACAACCACATTTTACTGCTAGAAGCAAGAGTGTAAGCATGTTATAAAAAGTGGGTGGGCTATGGGCAAACTTTTCAGCTTCATGAATATTAATAAGTGATAAACCCTACACTGTAAACTTTATCAAATGAAATGAGTGTAGTTAACTCAAAATGTACTGAAAGTTGATTCTACTCATTTGAAAAGAGTTTTGAACTCAGAGTTGAAGGTAATGAGTTAATAAAATACATCATTACTTCAACTTAAATGGAGTAAGTTCACAGTACTTGATTGTTTGTTTTTTAAACTCAAATGGTTTGTAGCAATCGGTTTCCTCA